TTCTGGTTGATTAAATTAAACAGACTATGTTGTTGAACATGTTCATATGGTCGAACGTCATATGCTTGGTATAACTTAAGTTTGTGACGTTTTTGTTGACGCGAATTAAGGCCGACCACTTTTCTTGGGACAGAATAATTTGTTAACACTTGAAATAACCATATACCGTGTCTATTGGTTATTTCGACGAATTTCACTTGTGACTGATTAACATCAAGGGCGTTCAAAACTGCAAAATTATTAATGTCTTCATTGTAAAATACTGGAGAATGAACAACAGTAAATTTTTGAGACATTATTATGGTATGGTATTAGACTATATATTATACCAGTATTATGATGATTATCATTGTAGTACAAAGAACGAATTCGTTTTCGATATATGACTAATGTGTCAGTAAAAGAAATACCATCACGTCCCTTTTATGTTCTATTCAAAGAATGTGAAATGATATATGCAGAAAATATGTTTCGATTCTTCCATAAAGTATTTTTTTCTTTGGTAACTCCTTACTATTATCTATTCACAGTTACAATATGTTCTCAAAGGAGTAGATTCCATTCAATGGAATATTGTCATCGTAACGAATGTTTGGTTTGTAATTCACGTGCACATTCATCTCGATTGTGCCTTACATGTCAAAGTGAACCTAGGGATGATTTTTATTTATTATGTTTAACAAAATTAAAAGACGAAATGGAAAGTTACGAATCATTAAAAGCCAAAAGTTTGGAAATGAATGATATACTGGATACATTTAATATTCCAAACCCAGAAACAAGTTATGATTCGTCTATTCATGAAGTTGATGACTATGCCAAATCTTTACTTGATCTTTACACAGATATTTTGAACCACGATATTACTCCATGGAGTAATATCGCGGTTTCGACTGGAGCTCCAGTCGAAACGGCTGGTGAAGGTGACTGTATGTTCCACGCTTTTCGTGTATTCTATCCCGAAATGACTATAGACGAGATACGTCTTAGAACTGTCGAAGAACTCTGTCTACATGAACAGTATTACACAGCCAAATTGGAGACGACAGATTTGGAATTCGTCGATGATGAACCGGTACAAGATCACGTATTACGAATACTCAATAACGG